GGGAGTAAATCGGGCTTTGACCGTAGTCAACGACACGTGACGACACGTGCCACCGCGTTGCACATTTCGTGGTCCGCGCGTTCCAACGATCTCTCTCAACCTGATGGAAATCGCGGGAAACGGGTTGGAAACGGGATTTTTTTTCGTGGGAGGGGAGATCTTTGGAAAATTTATATTTCGTTTTCTTTTTCACGGTAATTGTCCCTGCGATCGTTGTTCGACTTCGAAAGATCGGAAGATCTATTGGAGATTTTATTTTGCTACGCGTTTCGTTTTAATGAATTCTTTTAACGAATTTTATTATTATGTAAAGTAAGAGGCAAAAGTGAGAAGTGGTTAAAAAAAAAGAAATGATTTTGTTAGTTAGAAGAACAACCTTGGAAAATAAAAAAGAGGATGATTGTTGATATTTATATTTTTTATCTTCTTCTTCTTTTCTTCGTTTAATCTAAATCTTATCTTAATTTTAATCCATATCTCGTATATTGCACAATTCACAGGTGTATTTATAACAGGTGTAATATTAAATCCGTGATCTCATCGGTAGTTTTTATATAAGTATGTAAATAATAAAATTGATTTCTTCCCGGACTATGTTACTAAATGTAAAAATTCTCTCTCTAAATTACAAACTTGGATCAATGTATCCAATTTACACACATATACATATATATATATTTTTCCTATAAAATTTCCACTATATAACAATATTGGATATCCGTTTTCTGTCAAATAAACGAATAAATAATAGTTAATAGGAAACGAGGAGAAATCCAAAATGGATAACAGGTACCAACTAATTGGATACGTATATTCCGCGGATCGCGTTTTTTGCGCGAATTTCTTCAAAGGCGCGATCGTGTCGGTTTTGACGTTAATGGAACTGAACTCGATCTGTATACGAATCGGTGCGGAATAGGAAACGATCGAGTTTAAGATGGAACGCGGAAGAGACGCTTGACGGTTTCTTGCAATCCGACTCTTCCTCCTTGTTCTCTCGAGAATTACGTCAATTTACGTACACGCAAAGGAAAAAAAATAAAGTAACGATAATCAGAATCGGATAATCAAAACGTCAAATTTTTTTTCCATTCAATTCGATACGACGTTCTATTAACGTGAATTTGACGTGGTTCTCTGGCCTTCTAACGTCCTCCGTCGCGTTCTAGATCGTTTCCAAACCGTTTCCAAGCTTTCAACGAGGCCTCTCGTCGACAAAAGGCGCACTCGAGTTGCGCCACCAAATCGCTCGCTACCAGTTGCATGTTCGAGGACCGTCGAGCAAAGCACTCGAGCTTCGTGAAATGAAAATCTTTCTTCGATAGTGTATTTAACAGGGTCGAGTGCAGGGTCGAGTCTGATGGGTGGCCACGTAACGGGTGATCCGCAAGTATCGATGAGGAACACGAAGAAAAAAAGAAGAAAATGTATTTATATTTCACGTTTGATTCCTCGAAGAATGCTTTTTTCCTCTTCGAAATTGCTTTCGAACGTATTATTTATAACTATATTATTAAATCTTCTCAAATCCTTTTTCTTCGAATTATTGATTACGTTCTTTTGAATGATCTCGCGACAATATTGATACAAGATGATACACAAACTTCGAAAAAATGACAAGAATTAAACACGGATCACGTTTACTTAAAATCCATTTGTAATAACAAGTAACGAATGGGATCGCTCGAGGCTAGGCCACGGTTCCTCCTCTCCATTCGAAGAGATGGTCGAGAGCAGGAACTCGCGGGGACACCCCGTACACACGCGCGAGGAACGCACGATTCTTCATTCTCCGCGTTGGCCATTTATGGGTGGCGTGCCACTTGACAGGACGCACGGCGTCACGGGGTAATCAAAGTGCCATTATCCATGGGAAATTGTAACCCCCGATCTCTCCAACCCCTCCAACTCCTTTGCCACGTCGTATTCAGTATCGCGCGACTTTTCTCTTTCTATCCCGAGACCGTAACCGACTACGACCCCTCCTCGAATCCTCGTCGCACCTATATACATACATATATATATATATATGCACACACACCTTCGATACACAGCGGTGTACGTATCGAAGGGGTGGTCGTTACGCAAACCTCTGCCTAACCCTCTTGTAACGCGCGTTACACGGTCTGGCCGAGCGAGGGTCGACGAGTGTCAAAGCGGAGTCAACCGGTGAAAAATGGCCCCGACTTGTCACGAAGGATTCGTAAGTAATCATAATTCTTATCGGCTTAGGGAAACTACCTGGGCCTTGGTGTGTAATTGTAATTGTTCCCGTGACGCATCGTTAATCTATCACTCGTGTACGTACGATTGTAAAACGAGGTAAAACATCGGTTCACGTTCTATCGGTTATTAAATAGATTTTTGCCGCGAATCGATAAGATTCGTTGTATTGCAATTTCTTATATAGCGATATATAGTTTACGTTCCACCTAACTTATAATAAATAGATGTGCTTAGGCGTAATCGGAGCCCATTAAAAAAAGATTGTTGTAATTATCTTTCGACCGAAAACATAGGTTTATTTAACCGTATATCGAGAACGAGATTGCGAAAAAAAACTTATTTTCGTTCCCAACATTATCTGGTCGCCCATAAAAATCTTTTCCCAAAGCTTTTCGCAACCGTGTCTCCTTAATCCTCGATCGCGTGGAAAAATCCGTGGCCGTGGAAAATGAGTTTTGGATAATCGATAGTTGCCTCCCCTTGATATTTAACCCCGTAATTAGCGGGATGTCACCCGGAGCTATTCCCAAGCGAGGCCGCGTCTGGTCGCGCCGAATCCTCGTGTTTCACGGGTGACGGAAGCGCGGCACCGACATGGTTTCCCTCCCTCCCCGCCGCTATGAGTAAAAGTATTCGAGAGGGTGGAGGAGGTGGTTACGAGAGAGAGAGAGAGAGAGAGTGGCGAACCGGTTCGCAGCCTCCGTTGCAACCCCTCCGCTGGGGGTTTCCGCGGTAGCGTGATTTTCTGATTAGCAGCGGGTCGACTGGTTGCGGTTAACCGTTGTTAGGTTACCGGTCAATTGGTATGCATGGGCTGGGACTCGTGCCCACGGTACAGCCCCTGAACCCGGCTAACCTCCTCTCCCTCCTACGCCACCGACTAACGGCCGCACACCGTGCTATGTCTACTTCGCCACCTCCTCGATCGTTGGACCTAGATCGTTTCCACGTTGCGGTTTCCACGCCACTTTTTTTTCTCTTTCGGCCTAAAATTTTCTCCACCGAATTTCGGTGCTCGGCTGGGGGGAGAGGTGGTGGAATGGATGAATATTCCGTGGGGAGGGAGGTTGGTATAATTTTATATATATATAGTTTGATAAGTATAGGCGTGGATAATGATATGAAAGAGAAACGTGAATTTGGGAAAAGATGTTGAGAAAAATTGATGTGGAAAAGTAAATCGAGGTTTAATAAATAGTATTGTATTTCTGTCACGATTCTGACCACTCGTTTTCGATGTTTCCAGGTCGCTCTCGAGTTTCGGCCTCCCTTCCAATCTCGTCCATGGACGGAATAACGTGTCCAGTGTTTCGAAGGTCGGGGCCCTTGAAATTTTCTTGGCGAACGCACCCTTTCTTCGCGTGGACTGCGAAGTGAACGCCGGTCCCACGACCGACGAGGAATCGACACTCGCATCGGTTACGTTTCGAGGGTGCGATCTCCCCTTTTTCGAGAGGAGAGGAGGAGGGGCGTGCAATGGTCGAGAGCCTCCTTGACAAGGTATTACGTCCGTGGGTAATAGATTTACGACGTGGAGAAAGGTCATTCGATACTATTGCGTGATGTATTTTGCGGGAAGGTTCTTCAACCTTCGATTGGTGACGTAACTTTTACCTTAGTTATCGCCTTAATCTCGTCAATTTATTCGTTATTTTGAAACGAAAAAAAAAATTAAGAAAAGATTCGAACAACTTAAATTGAAATCTAACAAGCAGTTTTAAGACTCAAACTGTAAAGAAGAAGAAGAAAAATCTGACAGATGATCGACGATAATTGTTTAATTGTAAGGAACGACGAGGAAGCAAAGATCAAACGTTTCAAAGTTTCTCTCCCTTCTTTATCCCTGATCCAACCCCGGGAGGAAAGCAGCAACGACTTTTAAAACGCAATTTAAAACGCCGTTGCTGCCGCTTTTGTGAAAATAATCAAGCACTCTCCGTGCTCCAGTGTCCCAGGTGATTCGATCGGTTCCTCGGATCGTGGAACTTTTTAAACCGGCGTCCGGCTTACAGGAGGGGGAGGAGAGAGCCGGGGAAAGGGATTTTCCAAGGCAAGGAAAAGCGGCGCGATCGGGCGGGAGTTTAAATTAGATTTCGTACTTCCGAGACGCTACAAGAACCTTAAAAGAGGAGGTAAGCGTGGACAAACGTCCTCCATTTTATCAGAGCTAGCAGAGAGTTTCTTAGTTTCTCCACTCTATTCCTTTCCCTCGAACGTTTCTGTGAAGAAAGATCTTTTAAGGATATCTTTTAAATTTTTTTTTTTTTTTTTTTTCATTCTGTTCACCGTAGTTATTGGTACAGATATAGTTTTACGAAATAGCTTTGATCGCTTACTAGTTTTTCGTATATCTTTTGTTTTTCAATTCAAACGAGAATATTTTAAATTTGAAATTTGATTATGAATTAAGATTTCTTTTCTTAATATTTCATTTATGCAGTTATAACGAAACAATGAATTATCCGATGCGACGACGAGATAATAATAAATATTTAAATATCCCTCTCAATTTCGAGTGAATATTTTATGTTAATATATTTAATAGCTGTTCATAATTTAATATCGAACCAATTAATCTCCCTATTTAGATTTTTTTTAACCCTTAAAACTTTCTTCTTCAAAAGAAAAAAAAAAAAAGAATGTAATAAAAATAACATTTGAAATTAAATTTCGTGATAAACTGAATTTATCCAAACATCCCTTGCAACTACACTAATTACATCTCTTCCTCTAATAAAATATTTACCTCGCTATTTCACTAAAAGGGATTCTGTAACGTTTACTCGTTATCGAACTTTTTCTCGTCGTTCCCGATAGAAATTCGAACGAGGGGGGTAAAAGAAGCGCGTTCTCTCTATATAGGGGGAGGGGGGAAAAAAAATGAGGGAAGCACAGAACAGGCGTACGCAGAGAAAAGTTTTCGCCAAACCGGATACAAGGAAGTTCTACCGTATTCGCGCATCCGGTGCTATAAATCTCGGTCTCTTCCCGCCTTCTCGTGCCCGCTGGCCAAGTCACCGAGCCCTCACTCTGTCCGACGAATAAATTTGCGATCAAACCTTTTTCCAGTTCACCGTCTTTCTCGATCAATCGGTCGGTTCTATCGATTTTTCAGCGACGAGGAATCGTGTTCGTGATCGACAGCCGCATAACAGAACGCTTGATCCGTCGAATCTGTCGATATTTTCTACTTTACCGATCGATCTATATTGTGGAAATATATATATATATATATATATATAGAATTTCTTAAAGATCAGACAAGTTGAAATTAAAGTATATCGGTTTAAATCGTCATGTTTGTGTTAAGATTGTGATAAAAGTAATTTTAAAGAGTGATTATGATAATGATAAATTGTCAATGTTTCAGGTTCCGGTAGATACAACAGATGTGGATCATTGGATCATGCAATGGATTTCTGCAATACCAACCGATCATTTTTTTAAATTCTCACTTCATGAAGAGAGAAGAAGATGCGTTATGAATTATATTTCATAAGGATATTAGAATAATTCTTCTATGATAAATTATAAAAATTATTAATTATTTTTAATTTTTCTCGCCTTATGTGAAAAAGAAGAGGCGTTTAGATAGAAAGATATTTTTAAATACAATATATACGAAAAAAAGAATTGCAACAATGATAGATGATCTTGTTAGTCGTATATATTATTCCTGCGATTTTTTTCTACTCGATTATTATCACGTAAAAAGAAATTATATATAATCGTTCGATAATCCTATCAAAACTTTTTCCTCGAGCGGATTTTCTGCTTAGACAACGGAACAAGACGAGTATTTATGAGTTATTGATGACAACGGACGCTTTCAGAATCTTAGAGGATCGTATAATAACGTAATTAACGACGCGTTGACAAATTGAATCGGCGGCGAATATATTCTTTTCATCGTGGCTGTACCCTGGTGCTCTCGCCATAAATATTTCATGGCGGTCGGGCGTCCCCGTGTCCGTGGAAAATCGTAGAACGTTCAATGATCATCCCCCAGCCGCACTACACACCCTCGAAAAATCTTCACGAGGAAACCATGAAGAACCGATAATCTTCCATCGATCAGTATCAGAGAGGATAGAAGGAAGCGTTTCTCGAAAATGGAAATCTTCTTTAGGGGAAAAAATGAATTACGTATAACAGGCATGAAAGATTTGTCTCTAAATATACGAATAGATTCCAGGCCTATCGTAAAACCGAATCGCAGCGACAACTTTTTTTTCCTTTAATTGATTTAATTTATTCATTAACGAATAAAGAAATTGTTTTAGAGTACAAAGAGAGAGATTATAATTAAGAGATATGATGTTTTTAAAATTCCGTCTAACATGGCATAAAAGAATTTAATAAATTATATATTGTTGTTTCATATTGATGAAAAATAGAAATATCACATGATTATACATTCTCAATTTATTTAATTATTATACAGACAAAGAATGTTTCTCCAAAAAGATTGAGAAACACTGCCTTGGAATGAACATTAAATAAATTAAATTAAATCAAATTTTTATAACGCTCAAAATTTTATCAATTCTATCTAATAAATTGCCAAGAAACTATACTTTATTTCCACAACAACCTAATAATACTATTCATGTATTTCAACATGAATATTCCATTTCAACTCCCCCGCTCCAGAAAAAACCGGCAAATTCTCTTCGATGCTTGTCAAATTTCAAAGTAACGCCGAATCTCGATCTCGAAGAACGGGGTTTAGATAAGCGCCCCCTACAGGAAGCCATTAACCGGAGAGAACGGCGTGAAAAGCAAGGAGAATATTAGAGCGATCCGGCGATTGGCTCCGATGCAATTTCGCACGGTACAGTGGCGGCACGTTGGGCGAAGGTGTTAAATTCACTGGATGTACGTCGGACGAGCCATTCTGGGGTAGCCGACAAATCCGATCGTATTTTCATCGACGCCAAATTGGCAATATCCTCGCCGGTGACGATTCCTGAATTATGCATCAGCCACGGGGACAGTCGCTTCGCTTCGCTTCGAAGTTTATCCATCCCGC